AGGTCTGAGGGTATCCTGTGCCCAGCAGGGTTGTGCTGCTCCAGCAGTGGGCACCCATCCAGCGCCACAGTCCCCAGCCCCATGACCAGGCCCCTCCGGAGTTTCCAGGCCTGGACCCCGCACCCTGCGACAGCAGCACCCCGCCACCCTGGCTCACCCCCCACCTTGCCCCCGGCTGAGAGCAGGAGTTCACACTCTGCAGCTCCCTACCCTGTACCAGGCCCCCACGACTGCCCCATCCGGCCTCGCACTTCCCAGTGCCAGACCTGGGACAGGTTCTGCCCAGCGCATGGCCCTGGGGCCCTCCTGTTGTGCTCACATTGGCACGTGCCCCACCTGCCATGGCCCGCTCAACCTGGGGCTGGGGGCCAGGGGCCAGCCCCGGAGATGGTGGGCCTTGCAAGGAGAGCACAGGTCTGCTCTCACCGCTTGGCGGAACCGGGAAGGCCTCCCCCAACCCCAGGACAACAGGGGATGAGGGTACTGATGGGAAGCCCTGGCTCTGGGCAGCAAGGGGGCTGTTACACCTGGCCGCAGCACAGGCAGAGCCTGCCCGCTTCCCCCCACGGGGCAAGGCCAGGAGCACAGGCCTACACTCCCAGCTCCGAGGGCCAGGGCCAGGACCAGGATGCCACAGAGGGCTCGCATCAGCAGGGGTTCAGTGCGTGCCAGCCGGCTGGCAGCTCCACGCTCAGCCTCAGGCCCAGGGCTACGAGGACAGCGTGCCACTGGCAGGGCCTGCCAGGGGCCTTGGGGAGTCAGCACCGCAGCCCAGCGCCCACCACCCAGCAAGCCCTCGCACAGACAAGTCCTGCAGCAGCCGGCGCGGGGCTGCGGTGACGTCAGCAGCGCGAGCGGCAGGACACGCGGGGCAGGCCCTGCCAGCAGCCGCTCAGCTGCAAATTGCATTTCACACGCGTGTGCCCTTGAGCGAGACGCAGGTGGCGGGGGAGTCTCCCTGCCGTCTCTCCCCTCCTCCCCCTCCCCCTCCCTCTGCCTCCGCCTCCGCCTGGGGAGGGGCTCGCTTCGCAGCCCTGCCTGGGGCCTCCTGCCCAGGCCCAGCACGGCCAGAGCAGCTCCCACCTCCCGGGGAACAGGCAGGGAGACGAGCCCGGAGCACCACTCCCTGCTCAGTCCTCAGGCACCCGAGCAGCCAGCACTTCAGCAAGCCGGAGCTGCTCTGTACTTGCAGGCAGGCAACTGTCCCGAGCTCCAGGACCCGGCCCAGGTGCCAGGCAGGCTGCCTCGTGTACCCAGCACAACTCGGTAGCCAGGCCCAGGCCGCCAGGCCCCAGCAGACACTGCTGACTGCATCCACGCTGCCAGCCAGAGGCAGGGAGCCGGGCAGCCCGGTCTGCCAGGCCCATGGCTCTACCTTTGGCCCTTGAGTGAGCACTGAGTCACATGCCAGGCCCTGCCAGGGCAGCCAGGTTCATGGGGGTTGGGAGGAGCTCTGGTCACCTTCCCCTATGGCTCACCCAGGGACAGGGCCATCTCTAGCAGGAGCAGCACTCGGCCCGGCCCCAAGCCCCCCCATGCAGGCCTGCCCTGCCCCAGATGCTCCATGGCAGGGGACATGTGTGCAAGACAGGCCAGGGACATGGGACAGACGGTGCCCTCACAACAGCCCCCTGTGCCCAGAGCCAAGCAGGGAGATGTGCAGCGGTGACCCCAGTGCTGCTCCAGGGAGGGCAGCTCTGCGCCGCAGCACATGGTGCCCAGCTGGGGGATGTCGGCCTGCACCCGGGACCCTGCCCCTCTCGCCCCCAGACCCGTGGGCTACTGCCCAGGTGCCACACTCCCAGCCAGGCCTGGAAGACGCTGCCCACCACAGCCCACGAGCAAGCGCACAGCTGGGGAACATGACATTACCACAGCAAGCAGACACGGCTGGGATTGCCCGGGGCACACGGTTAAGACACTGTACACCAGGGTATGTGCAACTGGACCAGTTTGGATGGCATGGGGACAGGGCTGCCCATGCAGGAGACCGAGTCTCCACTGCCCACGTAAGAACAGGGCACCTCTGCGGACCCCTGCACCCCAGAGTCCCAAGCAGCAGCGTGGGTTGGGCTTCCAGAGCTGATGGCCATGTTGGTCTCTGTGGCTCTGCGATGCTGACCTCACTCTCCTGGGTGACCCTGGAGCCAGGTGCACCTGGGAGCTGGCACTTGACCCCCTGAAACACTGTCCATCGCCCTCCTGCCCACCTGCAGGTGGAGATGGCCCAGGGCTCCCACGCCTGCTGACGCGCCTGGGGCAGCCCAACACGTCGGGTCACTGCACACGCCTGCCACAGCACCACAGGGGATGGCCACCCCACGAGCGCTCTGGAATCTGGCACCAGCCACACGCCGCAGCCATGCACGTAGCCATGGCAACTGCACATGCAAGAGGCCAGCGGTAGGTGCGCCCTTGCCGCACGTGCAGCTCGAGCTGGCGCGTGGTGGCACTCGGGGGTGATGTCCGCAGGCCGGCATGTGGTTGCGGTTGTGTGAGTGGCGCTTTGGCCACGGGGCCGGAGGATGAGGCTGCAGAGACCTTGCCCCGTTCTGGGAGGACACGCCCATGCTTCCTGCCCCGTTGCCTCCCCAAGCAGCTCCTGCCCTGGTGCACTTGGGAAAGCCTCCAGCCTCCCTCGACCCCGGGCAGCCCGGGACAGCAGAAGCACAACCACACACGGGCACGTCGCAGACCAGCCACATGGAGCCCAGCGTGCCCTTGCACCCGGGCACAGGTTCCCTACGCTGCCTGCCTGGTCCCGTGGCAGCCCTGGTCACAGAGCGAAGACCTGGGGAGAAGGAGCAGCTGCAGCCAAGAGACCCAGCCTGGGCAGGGGAAGTGCCCCAGGCCCCGGCGGGGTGCAGACACCCAGGCCACACGGCCTACCTGCTGGAGGATAGCGGGCCTACTGGGGCCAGCACCTCGCTAAGCATCTCCTGCTGTCCTGCCATCGCAGGTGCCCTCCTCCTGCCGGGCCTAGCACGGCCCAAGCCTGGAACCGCTCCTCTCCCTCCCACTGGCACCGCCAGGCACCAGCTGCTGGGACCGCCCTGCACACGCTGGCCCGGCCC